CTTGTTTATGTTACAACATGGAGGTATAAACATCTGTTTATACCTCCATGGTAACAGATAGCAACAGATAGCCTGTAGCGTGAATTGCGTCCTCCGTTCGGCCGGCGAGTTCGCCACTCACGCCTACATGTCAGGTTACGCAACAGCCTGAGAAAATAGCTGAATTTAAAATGAAGCAGAGCATCATGGGTATTTTCTTGACGTGTTTGTTCGTGGTATAATGCTGGACGCTACATTACATACAACGTGGCATGTTAATCTGTTACGTGTACTACTGTAAATTGCGTGTATTAAAATTTAAAAAAATAGGTAACCCTTGACAACAGGTTCGACCATACAAAGAATACTATATGACAAACACATGCAATGGATAATCCATTTAAACTCATAAAAATAAACCCTTCAATCTATCTGTTGGTTGTCATCCTCAGCAAGGTTGAGTATTGCAACAATGAACCGTTTAGTGGTGGAATGCATTATTTTTTTTATTGGGATAGAGTACATCTTTCGTTCTTTCTTTCCTTCGGGTGTGTCTTAGTTCCTCTGTTTCGTGGTTCAATGATAGCCATTGAAACGTCGATGTAAAGCCCACTTGCTTTGACAAACTCGCAGACAATAGTCATTCAATAAATAAATCGGACGCTACCCGCCACGCCCACTGGAAACATCTGTTCGTATCATGTAAGAACACATATTGAACTCAGGACAGCTGTTTTACAAGATACAGTTCTATATACGCACTTCGTGGTCATAATCATGTTCCAGGTGAATATAACAGGGGAATAGTTTGTCCTTTATCTGTCCCTGTCCTGTATAGTGGACTGTTCTTCTTGCCAAGTGTCTTTGCCGCCTATAGAATAGAATGCTCCGTTTCTCAATGACTTAAACAATATTCACTCGAAACTCGATACATTAACTCGCCATTCGCATTTTATTTCATTGAAAAAACACTCCAACAAGCAAGCAAGAGATTGCATGCAAGTCTACATGAGGGGTAGATAAAAGGGGGGCAAGGGGGGTAGTGGTACAGGTTACACGAAATAATAACGTAATTTTACGTTTTTACAGGAAATAAAATGAAAGTTACATTTACAGTAAAAATAGGTTTTTACACTTTACATTTTACATTTTTATAATACATAATGTATTTTTGATAGATTGAGTTTAAGAATCAAAATTGTATATTGCGTACGAAATACAACATTTAATTTGGAAAATGCTGTATCCGATTAGTACAAAAAATAATATCTTTGTACAAATTACGGACGAATGAAATTACATTTACACCTTGCCCATGTCTACGAATTTACGTTTTTTATTTATTTAAATTATATTATTACGAAAATAAAAAAAAAAGATTACAGCTTACGAAAATACTCCTTGCCGACCCTCATAAAAACTATATTTTGTATTTTTTGTGATACTATAGTAGCCCTGCGAAATAGGGGAAAATAAACCCAAAATTGCAAACTTAGTAAGGCCATAAATCAAAGTAAGTTCACTTTTTTGTGACAAGACATTTTCGTTTCGTATTACAACTAGAGAGTTTTCATACACAGATTGAAGAAAGTAGACTAGCTTAGGGAGTCGTTCTTATTACATATCTTGTATGTTTTATTCTTGTGGTGAAGGACGGTTCAATGGCGAGAAGTCCGTAGTATGACAGTCTGTAGATGCCAAACATGGTGACCGAAACTCGTGTTCTTGCTGCCATTACGGCGATAGTGGTATTAGAGATCATCGCGTTTGTTGTAACAAGACATAAGTACACCAATGTTACCAACCGCGCGTACACCAACACGCCATCAAGTACCATAAGGGTTGACACCCAAATGTCCGTCGAGGCAGTACGGTAAGTTGAATTCGTTTGTTGTGACACAGTCCCTCTATCATTTGGGATAGAGAAACTGTGGCTGTGACCATGAATGGTGTTTGCTGGACAAAGAGCTTAGACAATGAATCGGTGGAATGGGACTTGTGATCCTTATACTGTGTTTATACGATGATGCTAGTGAGATCGCTGCCGTTTTTAGTGACCTGGTTTACGGCAAAGCTACTTAGTGGTAATAGTCGTGATTAACATTGAAGAAAAAAACTCGCGCTCTTTAGATTTAAACGACCTCCAATCCTGTGATGTCAAGGGCGTCACGATCTCATGAAGACAGTCAGAAATGCTTGAGTTGACAGACACCTTCTTTATCTGTTTGTACCATCGTCTCCGTACACACCCGTTGATTCGTGTTTTTTTAAATCTAAAACGTTATCTTTCTATGACTATCATGAGATTACAGACATTTACACCGTGACCCCCTCCAGATACCATCGCGAACATTGAGCATTCAAGACGGCCACACATTATAAATGTCATCATTTTACTAATTGACGCGGAACGTAGTCGTGCTACATTATTTATAATACTGCCTAGTGACGTGGACACACCTAAATACGAGACACGTGACTACTGTTCATATCACAATGCCACGTGGCAAAGATTTGACATCATCACGAATTCGCTGAAATATCGTTATACATGTATCACCATACTGGCGTTGACACTGAAAACACATACCGGTAATAAATAAACGTGTGATACCAACAAATCGATTACCACAGATAATCGATATTCTTGGGATAAAATTAAACGTTACCAATGTATTTATATGTACAATAATTGAATTACACGTTTATTTTTTTTTTATTTTTTTTTTTTAGAAAAGGGATTATAAATTGCTGTTTTGCCAGCCAACATTCGTATACTAGTATTTTGACCTCTAAAATCACCAAATTGCACGATTTTGTTCATAGTTATCACTGATAATGAAAGGTTGAGAAAGGTTATTTTACGACCATTGTCGTACGTACATAACGTACGTAACGTGCATCAAAATCGGGACTGTAAGATTTCATTACAACCATGACCCAATGGATTACAACTTAGTCAATATAGCAAACATACCAATTTCTTTGTTGTTTATCTGTGTTTCATCAAAGATAATACATCTAGTGACTTTGATTTCGTAACGCTTGCTTACGTTTTCCCGGGCCTGTGCGTGCACGTGCACAGTGCCTAGTTGGCAAGAACTGATCGTTCACACTCGAAGATAAAAAGAAATAGTGTAATTTGCCGTTGTTGTTATTAAAGGGAGGTGGTCGTCGCGCTGCGCATGTGCGACATTTGTGTTGATAAATATGGATCGCAATCTAGTGCCAATCAGTGCGCAACAACTGTTTATTCGCATACGAAATGTAGAGTGCAAATATGTAATGGAAGAGACGCAAATGTATCATCTTATATAAGTATAGTGACTAGTGTTAATTGACTGAAATAATGTTATCCTTCTCCCGGACTCTACGTCACTCTATTAGATGTTACTAATGTTAGGTTACAAACATCTAAACTGGAACAAACGTGTCAAATAACAAGACCTATCGACTAATGTTTGTAGTCACGAAGTCATCACGTGTGAAACACATGTGCTATATCACCGGGACAAACTTAAACGACCTCCACATGGGAGACGTTTACAGTGCACTATGAATGTGTTACACAAGATTCAGACAACTAATAATTATTAGTTGTCTGAGCACTGGAGTATGCCTTGTTTTCAAATCGTCTTGGTAACATTTCGGAACTCTGTCAAACGTGGGAATTGATTTTAAAAATGACCTACTGCCAATGTTTGACCACCCATATTGAATTCCACCAACTGTCAGTGTATGTGGTCTTTAAAGCGGGGGGTGTCGTCACCTACGCATGCGTCAGATGGCCATAGCGTGTCATTGTTTGCAAACAAGCGTCTAACCATGAGCCTTTGCGTTTTAGCGTCTGTTGTTATCGTCGCTTGGGAAGCCACACGTGCCCAGGTGACGACCCTCCCGCTTTAATATATCGCGACATTTTTGTTGGTACCTGTAAATAAATACATGATTAATTAATTGCCAAAATATTTATTTAAAAAACAGGTAATAATTGATTAATCGCCAACACTTTTTTTAAAAAAGTCTGGCCGCATCTGACTTTCAATTTATAAATATACTTTCAAGTTATCTGTCACTTTACTTTTCAGGAACGTCGAAGCCCGAGTCCAATGTACCCCAACTACGAACGTTGTATTTATAAAAACACATAAAACCGGAAGTACCACTGTGGCATCCATTATTGAAAGGTTTGGATACCTAAAGAATTTGTCGTTTGTCGTACCGCCAAGTAGAAGATATGGACCCCATATATTATCAAGTAATCAGTTGTTCACCCAGAAATTGATTAAAAAATCTCCCCCACCTTTAAATGGCGGGAAATATTACAACATGTTGACAAATCACGTGGGCTATAATCGTCCTGAAATGGAGGCTGTTATTCCTAATGCAACCTACGTCACTATAATACGTCACCCCGTACAACACTTCGAATCCTCGTTCGCATACTTTCAGTGGAAAGGGGTCGTTACGAAGGCACGCAAAAACGTTAGCGATCCAATTGCGACATTCATGGAAACTCCGGAGGAATTCCTAAAAAGTGGTTTCTATTTTTCTTGGCAATCGCACAACGGACAGCTTTATGATCTTGGCTTTCGACCAGAGGCAAATAGCACTATTGAGGAGTTGGTGGAAAGAAAAATTAATGCCTTGAACGAGGAGATGAGTGTTGTTCTTATAATGGAGTATTTTGATGAATCATTACTCATTTTAATGAAGACACTTTGTTGGACCATGGACGACATCCTTTACTTACCAAAAGGCGTGAGGAAACAATCACTACACCGGCAGATGTCAAATGAGACCAGGGAGAAGATTCTAAGATGGAATGAAGCAGATGTGAAATTATATACACATTTCAACAGAACGCTATGGAAAAAAATTTCTGAATATGGTCCCACGTTTGAGAGTGATTTACAACGTTTTCGAACCAAACAGTTAGATATTAAGCATGAATGTATCGACTCTAGCGGGGTGTTTAAAGGGGACGCGCGCGAAAGTAGAAATCCGTTAAAGAATAATGCAACCGAATTTTGTAACAACCTCTGGTACGACGATGTCACTTTCACCGGATTGATAAGAGATAGACAGTTAGGCGGCAAATGATCACGGACAACGCACTACCCATTATTTACAATCGATTTCCAGTCTGCCCCGCGCATGTAGCTGAGAGTTGGTATTCTTGTTTTTGTTATACTGCCCTCTACGGTGTTTGTGTTGTAACGTAAATTGCACGCGTCGTATTTTGTTTCTGTGTGTACCAATCCGCGTCACAAAAAATATAATTTCCGTCTGTCGAATATCGGCAACACATTCCTGTATTTTCCGCGATGATATAAAAGCAGGCGTATTTCTGCACCCATGGCTCGCTACTTTCGGGAATGTGGTCGATTATTATAATTGCTACAAGTGGCTCGCCGGGCGACCGAATTTGAGTCACAGTTGCGCAACGACATTATTATATTATTGCGTGTTGTAAATCACCTCTATCAGAATTTTACTACGTAATGGTTTTACATTATCACACAATAATGTAAACCCTCCACAAGTAATTTCATTTCAAGAAAAAGCATCCAAATTCCGATGGTAGTGATTTACTGTAATTAGCTGGAAATAATTTTCACTGAAAAGACATTTTGGGCGTTTCGTATGGAATTTATTTTCACTGATTTTTGATGAGTCATTTTGAATTCGGAGAATTCATTATCTTAGTATAGATCCCTTTTCTCATCGAATATGGCGCTATGTGACATTCATTATTGTTTAAAGCGGGGAGTCTGTGCATGCGTAAGATGGCCATAGCGTGTCATTGTTTATAAGCGCCTACCCATAAACCTTTGCGTTTTTAGCGTGTGTTGTTATCGTCGCTTGGGACTCAATTCCCGCGCGTGCGCAGGTGACGACTCCCTGCTTTAAATAACAAGAAAGAGGACGGGGGGGGGGAGTACGCAATAATGGACAAGACGCAGCCGAGCTTATTATTTAACATATTTAAGGTAACATCTTCAGTTTGTCAGAACCTTGTTATCATGCAATAATTTCTGTTATAAATCTGAGAAATACTGAATACACGTGCAATGCTGACCGAAGAAGAGAGAAATCGAGTCGTCAGTGTGGTAGTGCATCGCAGGCGTTCGTACCAGCAATGCAGTTACCGTGGAACACGCTCAGTGATTTTGCAAATGAAAATTACCTGGGTTTGTGAAAGACTCATCTTAGATTTGTTCATTTCGTGATGATATCTTCAATTCTCTAATTTTGATGAATAATTTTGTCATTTTTGGTAAAAAGTGATATTTTTGACTTTTTGTTGAAAACCGCGTTGATATTATACAATAGGCACTACCGATAGACCTCTCTCAAATTTGTTTCATTTCCTGATGATATCTTCAATTATTAATTTTGATGAATACTTTTGTCATTTTTGGTAAAAAGTGATATTTTCGATTTCTTTGTTTAAAACCGCAAGTCCGATTGATATTATACATATAGTTACTACAAGTAGACCTCTCTCAGATTTGTTCATTTTGTGATGATATC